GGGTGGTACGCCTACCACAAGATATAATGAAATGGGAGCGGATGATACGCCTACCACGGGATAAATGAAATGAGAGCGGGTGGCACGCCTGCCACGAGATACATGAAATGGGAGCGGGTGGCACGCCTGCCATGAGATACAGGAAATGGGATCGGGTTGCACGCCTGCAACAAGATGTGAAAAGAAAGTAAAATCTACCTTTGTTTTCCTTATTCTTGTTAGTGGTTGGATTTTGATTCCTTTATAGTTCTCTTGATATTCTGTTTTACTTGTTATTCCCCGAAGCATGTTTCCCCCTTCCATCTTTACTTGTTTATTCCTGCTTTACTTTCCGCTGTATATTATATAACTGCACAGGTTTATTTGGTGGTCTGGTCCTAGTTTCGTCACTACTTCCCCGAGGTTAGACTAGACACTTACCAGCACATGGGGGCGGTTGTGCTGATACTACACTCTGCGCTATGTGCAGATCTCGGAGCAGCTCTTGGACCGTAGTTGGAGGCTACCTTCAGTCCACGCAGAGATCCAAGGTAGACCTGCAGGCGTCCGCAGTCCCTGATGTCTCATCTATCTTTTATTTCCTGTTTCATCTTTTTGCTTCAGAAACAATGTCTTTTATTCTCGGATCTTGTATTTAGCAGTCTTAGACCGTCTGTGACACTGTGACACCTGGTTTTGAGTGATTAAGGCTTAAGTAGTTGTAATAGCTACAGAATCAGATATTTTATTGTTTTTCTTCCGCTTAATTAAATATTCCGCTGTTTATACGTTATCGCATTATATCTGTTAAAAAGAATTAATTGGATAATGGAGTAATTAGTTTAAAGGATTAGCTTGCCTAGCTCACATTAGTAGACGCCATCGCAACTCACGAGAGTGAAAAATCCAGGTCGTGACACCAACAAACCCTTCAACACGCAATTAGTTGATGTGAAACAGTGAAAGTGGGAACTTATCACCATTCTCTTTAGCTTGAAAGGGTAAATAAAAAGGCGGCGACATCGTAGAGACTTGTAATTGTTCTTTAATTCACTTTACTTTAACTTCCATTTTCCTCTAACAGTTGGAAACGTGAGAGGAGATTGTATTTTGATGGTAGCAAAGATCGACATTTAGATAGTGATATCTGCTACCAAATTACAAAAACTTCTAGAATATTTTACTCAACAAAGTATTCTCTTTGTTCCAGATGACATTCTTTCTTTTAGCATATTCAAAAAAAAAAATCGTATTTTTATAGTTAAAAAAAATAAATTTAAAATTCTCATTTAAATGTAATAAGTTACTAATTTATAATCATACAAATATTTATATTTATTTTAAAAATTGTATGTGTCAAAATATATCTTTCTTTCTTGAACTTTGTCCTTATCAAATAAGTAAGGCAACATAAATGAGGAGGGAGTACGTCGTTATACCCCATAAATTGCGACATGTTGTTTTTGAGATAATTTTATAATAATATAAGGATTAAATAACGATTTCGTCAAGAGAAATGCACTTTCCAATCTTGTGCGATAAAAAAGTAAAATCAAACTTCTAATGTCAAGTTTAATTATTTATTTTCTTAATTCATACACAAATAGTTTATATTTGTCGCCAAGATTTTGATATCTTTTCCACTTTTATTTTTATTCTCGTTTTCCCTTTTTATTCACCACATTATTACTGTACGAATATTTCAATTACCACCTCGAGCTGAAAAAGCACCGTTGTTTCTCTCCTTTCGATTGTTTTTTTATCTTTCTATTTTTGACATAGTTTGGCATCCGCGTGAGCATAATTACAGAATGCATAATAGTGTCGCCCAAAGTGAAAACCAAGCAAGTGTTGCTAGGTCCTTGACACAATGGCCGATTGGACCCTTTTCAGAAAAATATCACAGTGGTGGAGCCCAATTATCAAAATTGAAGATAACAAACTCCCATAGCCATGATTTGATATCACATCACATCATTTTCCTTCCATGTGGTCATGTGGTCCTATTAACATTACTTACCTAATATTACCAGCTCTAATATAATGACATTCTATATCTCTACCATGGGGGGGGGGGGGGGGGGGGGGGTTGAATATGCATCTTTTTACTAGTTTTACTTGGATTTTCTTGGACAATGACAATGGTGTTCTCTAAACATGACATGCCAGGCCTCTTGACAATGGCGCCTTGGAACAAGTATATGTATCAGCAAGGTACAAAATACACTCACTACTCTGTGATGAAGGGTAAACATGAGTGAGTTTTGACAGCTAAGACCTATACATTGCCGAGAAAAGAGGCCAAGGATGACAGTGAAGAGACAATACTCGGGGAAATTATTTTCCGGGCCTTAACTAATTGAAAGAATCAAGAATGAACAGCCCTTACTTATTATGTTGAAGCACCTCCAGCTCTTGAATAGAGTTGGTTTTTAGCTTTGTTAGTCACCTGCACGCTGCTGGGGATCGAGATCAGATCAACAGCTCCCTGGATTCGGCTACTTCAGAGTATATGATCTTGTTGTTTGTTATGAATCCTCACTGTCAAAATACCTGTACTTGATTTCTTTTCTGTATACCGTGTGAAACGGTAGCACCACGCAATCAGTTTCCATTTTTCCTCACTGAAAAGGAAAATAAAAATAAGCTCAGTCAGGTGGTTGGTGAATATAACTAAGCTAAGGCAAGCTGATTTCCAACTGTATGAATGGAGTAACAATCCATGAAATTCATACCACCAACAATATATTAACAACTGATTAGCAATATATTGAAATGTATAAATATAAGTTTTAGCAATTGTTTAAATGGATGTTTCAAAGGAGCCATTTCAATTTGCTATTACTCTTGTTAACTTCCAAATCTAACGACAGTAGCAAGAAAGTTATTGCAGGTCACTCTACCGAAACATATAAATTCAGAGGCCTAAGACATCATACATGTAGTGATTTACAAGGTTTTTCCTAAATAGTGAAACATTTTACCTCTTTGGAACCATGATCGTCGAACAGCTTGGCGGATCTGGCGCTCATGTCTCTCCAGGAGTTCGTCAACTCTGTGTGACTGAGATAGCAAGGGTCCTGAGAATTCAACTTTGTCCCCTTGATCCCGAATCTGTTCAAAGTACAATTCTAAAATGATCAATATAAACCCAATGATAAAATATGCAACTCCATTTCATGACAACAGACTCCAGAGGTTTGTGATTGGCTATACTCTCTGAATGTTACAGTCACAAACATGGCGTCGTAATTATTCTAAAGCACAGACACCAATATTCATTTTAAAAACTATCAGAAGAGGACAACAAATCAATCAAACACATAAAGACGGTAATCTGTAAATTCACTAAGTATTCATGTTTTCATTGAAAGCTCCATGATAGAATAATCTTATCCCTTTATTTTAAGCAGGTGTCAACAGTGTGAATAGAAAATGTGTAATTATTATATTTGAATCCTGAGAAAAGTTTTTGACTAACCACATTGATCTTTTTGAAAGCTGTTTCCTCTTTCAGATAGAGAGCCAGTGACAGTTCTTGTGAGTGGTAGCCATCAGAAGCATCAAACGAGTCTGTTTGCTCTAATTGGCTCCAGTGTTGTTGCATTGCATGTTTGGTGAATTCATAGGTGTCACGGCCCTTGGAATTGGTCCGACTTCCATTTGTAGCTTCACTGTCTTGTCTTTTAAGCTCCAGGTTATTTTTAATATGAAGTGCACCTGAAGGTTCAAACTTTAGGCTTCTTGAACTTGATTTACTCCTCGATCTCATTGACGAATCATCAAAGCGTCTTTTCGCCCATGCAAAACCACTTGATCCAGACACTTGAAGAGGACCTGAAAAGGGGACATCTCCTTGAGATGCATTCTTGATGTGGGACGCCTCGCCCATTGAATCAACTGACGGCTTAGGTCGCACGAGACCTATAATAACATCTGCTTCTCTCTGAGCACCCAGACTACTGCCATTAGTTTTATTAACACCTTGATTTTGGACTGGTAAGTTCTGCAGAGAAAAGTTTCATTTAGTTTTCTCTGCCTATAATATGCAAAGTGAAGAAAAAATGAACTTATAATTTTTTACAGGAAGGAAGAAGAATCCAAGCTGTATATAGGTAGAGAAAGAGAGAGAGAGAGAGAGGACCTCTTCAGGTGCCAGTTTATTGGTTGCATTATGTTTTCTAGTTGACTTTCTGGTTGTCTCGGGTCCACGGGCTCTTCCACTAGGCTTCTTCCTGAACATTCTCATATAATTAAATTGTAACTCAGGAAGATCTATGCAAAAGCTAGAAAATGTAGCAAATGCAAGAGCTTGTGCCAGCGCTAAGGAGCAAGATAGTGACCGTAATTATTATCATACTGTGGAAGTAATCATTCTATCAAAACCAGTTTCGCCATTTTAGTCAGACAAGCTTATACTTCTCTTTAATTGTCATGGTTTTAAGAACATTATTGACCTGATTTTAGTATAATCACCCTTACAAAATGACGGATGGAAAACAGAGGGACCTTGGACAGGGTATATCCCTTTTGTCCAACCATTGTAATTTTCTGTTAAATGTAAATATAACCAGAAGATTATTAAAACAAAATCTCTTTCAAACATAATTATTATCAGGTTCTTACCTTTTTGCTTCTTCGCAATGTTTGGCGTCAATCTCTTTGCTTGGTGGATACTTTGGCAGGCTTGAAGGATCACAAGCATGAGGCTTTGTCTTGAAGTACTAAAGATAGAATTTGGAAGTTACGGAATTAGAGAATTTGAAATTTATGCATTTGTAAGATATAAGAAAATCATTGCAAAAACAGTACACATGTTTAATAAAGGAATATGGAATTATTTTTAAAAAAAGTTCAACTTATAAGATACAGGCAAACTTGTTCTTTGTATCGTTCATTAACAACTCTTACAGGCTTAAAGAAACTAAAGTATATGATACGATAACAGAAACTATCAATACTATATAAAAAACAAAAAAAGGATTGAAAACAATACCTCAGATACAAGGGCAGAAGAGGCAGTTCCACGTTTGTGTGGCTCCACGGAAAGAAGAGTCTCTATGAGTGAGACTGCACTTTTGGTTAGATCTTTAAAGGTGTCCCAAAGACAGCTCTCATAAGGATGCTGTGGCTTAAATAGAGTTGCGTGAGGAAGTTTAGATTTCTTCCAGTAATCATCTGGTGGAGATCCACAGAGCTTAAAAATTTTATGCAGCTGTTCAACCTGTAGCACGAAATCGATTGTTCTGTTGTTACTCATGCAACAAAATACTAAGTATTCAGCTTAATTGGCTAGTCATGAATCAGTTCAGTGAGAAACGTAACTGTGAAGTTTGAACTAGATAGGTGCATTGCGTTATTAAGGAGGATTGAAAAGTATGAGCGTTAAATTATATACGGTTTCCAGACAAGTATGTCATTAATCTTCTATTCAATAGAATAGTGAGAAAAAGTAATTTGAGCAAAGAATTTTTTTCATATCAATAGTAAGTTTGTTTAAAAAGATTGACGGTTTTAACCACTTCAGTGTACTAAGAGATCTAATCATTGAAGGAGGTACCTCAGTTCTCCCCTGAAGAATAGGTTTACCAGTAAGAAGTTCACCAAACACACATCCGACACTCCAAAGATCCACAGAAGCTCCATACTCCGTGGAGCCCAACAAAAGCTCTGGAGGACGATACCATAAAGTGACAACTCGGCTGGTTAATGGTTGCTTCCGTCCAGGGTTACAGAAGTTCGCCAATCCAAAATCTGCAACCTTCAAAATTCCATCATTATTTACCAGAAGATTTGCACCTTTGATGTCCCGGTGCATTACACCCCGAGAATGACAATGCTCGATTCCAGATAACAACTGCTTCATGTAGCATTTAACCTGTAAAATGACGCAGCTCATCTTTTAAAAAACCCCAAAAAGAAAAAAACAGAAAAAGGAGTTCTTACTTAGATATAGGGAGATGATCCCCATCCTTCCCCTTTTTACTATCCTGGAGCCCCGCCCCCCCACC